ATGAGAATTTTCACAATAAATGACCTAATGGCATATAAAATATGCATAGTGCAAAACAAAATACATTAACTGAAAGTAAGGCAGTAAAAACCTTGCCAGTGTTTGTGTGTGTGTGTCTGTGTGCGTATAAAAGGTAAATGCTGGAATGTGGCTTGACTGCATTCCATTTATTTAAAAAGATATTGCTTTGAATGAAAAAAAAATACAAGCAAATTAAAAAACAAAAAACAAAAAACAAAAAACAAACAAATATGAGTCTGCACCAGTAACCAATCTTGAGAATCTATACTTTTAACCCAGTGATGCTGGATTACCACAATTCTTTGTGTAATGGGCTGGTTAAGGACTGTTATAATGACTACAGCTGGTACAAAATGCTGATGGTCGATCTCTAAACTGTCAGACTTTGTCAAATTCTCACCAGACACTGGTTATACAGTTCAGTTGACTAGAAGCTGCATAGAGAAGGGAGAAGAAGTGATTTGCAGCAAAGTAGGACCAAAGAGGGAAAAAAATCGATAACATTCATTCATTCGTTACATTTCTGAACTTCAGGTTGACCAATTCAAAAAACAACCAATGAGAGCAGAGGATACTCTGACTGCTGCATTTTTTTCCCCCGTTAATTTTGCTTGTTTTTAAGCTTGCTTTGTTTTACATAGTTATTCATCAGTTTTCATGGTTGCTTGATTCTTAGTTGTTCTTTATTGTCAAATGTTCTCTAATATTCTTTGGTTTCAGTTCCTGTTCTATGTATTAAAGTGTTAGTTTTCTTGAATTTATTTGATTAGATGAGATAACTTAAACCTTTATTAATCCCTCGGGTGGGTTCCTCCAGGAAATCCAGTTTCCAGTAGCACAGCACCAACAGAATTGGGCGGTGTGGCAGCAATTTTCAACACCAGCCTATTAATTAACCAAAGACCCAGACGGACTCATTTGAAAGCCTGATGCTTAGCCTTGTCCACTCTAGCTGCAAAAGTCAAAAAACAGTCTTATTTTTTATCATCTATCGTCCACCTCGGCCTTACACAGAGTTTCTGTTTGATTTCTCAGACTTTTTATCTGATTTAGTGCTCAACTCAGATAAAACAATTATTGTGGGTGGTTTTAACATTCATGTAGATGCTAAAAATGACAGTCTCAACACAGCATTTAATCTGTTGTTAGACTCAATTCGCTTCTCTAAAAATGTAAAAGAACCCACCCACCACTTAATATAAAGCACCTTGAGGCACTAGTCTTGATCATTTATACAGTTATACTTAAATAAAAATGAAATAACAGTCACACAGAAACAAAAGTTAATTACTTGCAACTAAATAACTATTATTAGATGATGTTTTGAAGAAAAAGGAAGTAATCAAATGTCCCCGCTTTCCATATACGCAACAGATAAGAAGAAGTTAAGCCATAATTGTCAGGAACTGTTGAGAATTATAGGTTATCAAGGAAGTGAAACCTGAACTTGCATCTTATTATTTTTCTAAAAATGGCAACCAGAGTGTGCAGCAGTAGGTCAGAGGGCTCTCGAAACGTCTACCGCTCCACCATCGAGAGCGTTCTGACTTACTGCTGCACACTCTGTTTCAACTGCTGCACCGCGGAGGACATGAGGAAACTGCACGTGGGTGGGCAATTGGCACCATACTAACTCCCCTCAGAGACATTTATACTGGCAGACTTCAGCATCATCATCAAAGACCCCTCGCACCCTGGACACTTGCAAAATAAAATTCAATATTTAGTATTTACTGTAATTTATGCTTAGCTAGATTATTGCAATGGTGTTGTGTTTATTATGTTGCTCTCTTTTTTTGCTTGTTTTCTCTTTTTTTTCTTCTCTCAACAGGTGAGCCAGGTGATTTTTTTTAAGTGCCATTTCTCACTGTCCCTCTTCCTCTGTTTTTCTTTCGCTCCCTTTCTTTCTTTCGCTCTCTTCTTTCTTTCTTTCTTCCTTTCGCTCTCTTTTTTCTTTCTTTCTTTCTTTCTTTCGCTCCCTTCTTTCTTTCGCTCCCTTTCTTTCTTTCTTTCTTTCTTTCTTTCGCTCCCTTTCTTTCTTTCTTTCTTTCGCTCCCTTCTTTCTTTCGCTCCCTTCTTTCTTTCTTTTTTTCTTTCTTTCTTTCTTTCTTTCTTTCTTTCTTTCTTTCTTTCGCTCCCTTCTTTCTTTCGCTCCCTTTCTTTCTTTCTTTCTTTCGCTCCCTTTCTTTCTTTCTTCCTTTCGCTCCCTTCTTTCTTTCGCTCCCTTTCTTTCTTTCTTTCTTCCTTTCGCTCCCTTCTTTCTTTCGCTCCCTTTCTTTCTTTCTTTCTTTCTTTCGCTCCCTTTTTCTTTCTTCCTTTCGCTCTCTTCTTTCTTTCGCTCTCTTCTTTCTTTCGCTCCCTTTCTTTCTTTCTTTCTTTCGCTCCCTTCTTTCTTTCGCTCCCTTTCTTTCGCTCCCTTCTTTCTTTCTTTTGCTCCCTTTCTTTCTTTCTTTCTTCCTTTCTTTCGCTCCCTTCTTTCTTTCTTTCGCTCCCTTCTTTCTTTCTTTCTTTCGCTCCCTTCTTTCTTTCGCTCCCTTTCTTTCTTTCTTTCGCTCCCTTCTTTCTTTCTTTCGCTCCCTTTCTTTCTTCCTTTCTTTCTTTCTTTCGCTCCCTTTCCTTCTTTCGCTCCCTTTCTTTCTTTCGCTCCCTTTCTTTCTTTCTTTCTTTCTTTCGCTCCCTTCCTTCCTTTCTTTCGCTCCCTTTCTTCCTTCCTTTCTTTCTTTCACTCCCTTTCTTTCTTTCTTTCGCTCCCTTTCTTTCTTTCTTCCTTTCTTTTGCTCCCTTTCTTTCTTTCCCTCTTTCTCTTTCTTTCTTTCTTTCTTATCCCCCAGTCATGTCTGTCCTGTCTGTAACAACTGAAAATAAAATAAATAAATAATAATAACCAAGGTCAATCAAATCAAAGGCTGCGATGATCCACTAGGTAAAGTAAATCCGTTGGGCATCTTTCTTGGCCTTCGGACAGTAATTCTGATGGCTAAAGAACCAAACGGGACAGGCAAAAAAAAGAAGAAGAAGAGAGATAAATCGTCTTATAGACAACACGGTCCATTGAGGGAAAGTCAGTGGAGTCCTTTCAGTCTTGTAAATATTGCGGAAGAATTCATGATTCAAATCTGAACTTTAAAAACTAGCATCTGTCATATTTAAGGAAACTTTCATTTCTACACTGATAAACACATGAGTATTCTTTTTTATTATGCTTTTATTGAATGTGTTTTGTCCTTTCCCCTGGTATCAGAGCTCGGATACTTACAGTAGTGGCCAGAAGTTTACATACGCTCATCGCTGGCATGAAGTGATGAGCACACAATAACATGCATACAGAGTGACATGTCAAAGATCATATTCAAGAGACAACCAGTACATGTAAGATTTCATTTATAATACATGATGTGAATCATATATATGCCATTTCTAAAAGATTTGATGAAAGCCCACAATCAGTGTAGAAAAACATCTTAGAAGATGTGGACAGGGTTCTGTGTAAGAGAGACTCAGCAGGCTTCCTAGCAAATTGTTTCCTCTATTTCCATCTATAACCTGAAACGTGTTTCTTGGTATTTCCTGTGCCAAGTTTAAACAACATCACACACTGTTTGATCCAAACAGCATGTACTACATATTGATGTTGCACTACTCCTGACAGTTTCAGGAGCTAGGGGTGGGTGATAAACACCTTTATCAGCAGGAGACAGAAGTGCATCAGTGGCCATCCAGGTAAAAAGCAGATCATGGAGTCATGCATGAAATGCATGGGCAATTCATAAGAGTTCAGTATGGGGGCCCCACAGGGAACGGTTCCTCTTCACCATCTACACTGCAGACTTCTATACAACTCCACCCAGTGCTTCCTGCAGAAGTTCTCTGATGACTCTGCAATAGTCACCTCATCACTGATGGGGACGACAAGGATACAGAGGACTGACCCAAGACATTGTGGACTGGTGTCAGCTGAACTACCTCCAGATCAACACCAGTAAAACCAAGGAGCTGGTGGTAGACTTCTGCAGGCACAAACATCCTCCACTGCAACCACTGAACATCCAAGGTACTGACATTGAGACTGTGGACGCTAGAGGTACCTTGGTGTTCATCTGAACAATAAACTGGACTGGACTCATAATTCAGACGCCCTATACAGGAAAGGGCAGAGCAGGCTGTACCTGCTGCGGAGGCTCAGGTCTTTTGGAGTGAAGGGCCGACTCCTGAAGACCTTCTATGACTCTGTGGTGGCCTCAGCCATCTTTTACAGTGTGGTCTGCTGAGGCAGCAGCATCTCTGCTGGGGACAGGAAGAGACTGAACAGGCTGATCCGAAGGGCCAGCTCTGTTCTAGGATGCCCTCTGGACCCAGTGGAGGTGGTGAGTGACAGGAGAATGGTGGCTAAGCTGTCATCCCTGTTGGACAACATCTCCCACCCCATGCAGGAGACTCTGACAGCACTGAGCAGCTCCTTCAGTGGCAGCTGCGGCACCCACGGTGTGGGACGGAGAGATTTCGCAGGTCTTTCCTCCCCACTGCTGTCAGACTCCACAACAAAGACTTCAACTGATCAAACACACACATCCACACATGGGCAATAGCAATAACACTGAGTACAATACTCTTTTCTGGCATCGTTGTATTATACTCAATTATATATAGCATTTGTATTCTATTTTATTCAATTGTATATGGTATTTTATTCTATTCTATTCTATTGTGTACAGTTGCGCACAGTATCTATTGATATCTTATTCCAGTGTTTTTCTTTTTTCTAATTTTCCATGTAACTTTCCACTGTCCACTGCTGTAACAAAACAAATTTCCCATGCGTGGGACTAATAAAGGTTATCTTATCTTATCTTATCTTCATGCATAGAAAAAGAGGAAGAGTGTCTCCTGTGGGTATTGCTGCCACCTGGTGGCACCTGGTTAGACTTCTTGTGTCAGGTCATGATGATGGAGTTGAATATTAACAGTATCAGTATCTGGGAAGAATTGAGGAGATTAAATATAATGTATTTTAAAATACTCTTAATGTATATAGATCATTTAGAGATTACTATAGTTGTTTTTTCTTTTTACCTGAAAGGTGCTATAAATAATAACTTAATTATAAGTAGGTACAGCACTAGGAACGATTTATCAGAAAGACCTCAAAGGGTGATGCAATGTAAACTCAAAGAGCCACTCATTACAACCAGGTTATACAGAAGAGCATCTCTAAGTGCACAATACATCACAACCTGAAGATGAAGACCCTACTGGTATTAGTCCTGGCAGCAAGTATAAAGAATTCAAAAATGGCACTCATTAACAATTTTAAATTGAGGGGTTCATCAGTAAATTATTGATGTTTGTTGTTGTTCATATCTCAAACAGGAAATCAAAAGAATCGCTGTATTTTTATTTAAATTATTAGTTAATTATTGGTTATACTGAACTACATATCAATAGAAGCCCAACACCTAATATAGGTCATGGATAATGCATTAGTCTTTTCAGTTTCTGCTGTTGAAACTAGTAGTCATCATTTTCTGAGAGGAAGAGTCTCTGATTGATGAGTTATTTTCAGTTTGAGACTTTGACCAGGCCATCGCCACAGACCACAGGAAAATAAATACACCTGTGAAGAGAAAGACATAGTTTGTCAGTTATTATATTAAATGATCAAAGTCCAGTTAATCCTTGACATGATGATCACATGCTAACCTTGAAGGGAGTTCAATACGGTGAATACATAGATCCCAGGGAGTGAAACGTATGTAGTGCTGGCTAACCCCCAAGGTAACCCAAGCACACAGCTGAGGCCCAGCACTGTGACACAGTCCTTCCATAACCTCTTCTTTCTCTCTTTGTTTGTCTTCTTCCAGTCACTGCTGCTTCCAAAGCTTCTATCACCCCTTCTTAGCTCCAACATCTTAAACACCACCAGCCCCAGCATGCAGGCATTGAACACGACCACCAAGAAAGGAAAGGCCACAGTAGTGATGTAGCTGACTACGAGGAGCTTTTGTTCAGACTCGTTGCTTATCCAGCACCTGCTCATTAATAAAGAAATAAAAAAAACAGCATGAATTTGCTTAGAAATAAAATCTCCTGGCTCACTCTAATATCAAGTGATACCAAATATAGTTTCTTACATGTGTTGTGTTGAATTGCTGTTGCTGTATTTCAGAGTGTATTTGCCATAAACACGTGAAATCCCACAAACAGCTGCAACCAGTGTAGGAAAACCTGAAAACATGGAAGACAGAATTAATGTCAGCTGAATGTTCTTTAGGACAGCGTGAGGCATTATTATCACTGTTTCTCTGCTCCTCAATGCTGCTGCTAGAGTCCAGACTGGTACATTAAACATGAACATGTTTAACCATCTTTGTTAAACTAACTACCTGCGTAAATGAAGGTTCATTGAAATGAGCTCATTTCTGAGTTTCAGACTGCTTACAGCGGGGGTGTCCAAACTCCGGCCCGCGGGCCCATTTTTAATTGGCCCGCAAGTAATTTTATAAATAGAATAGAAAATGGCCCACACTTCAACTTTTGCTGGAGTGTATTGCACTTCTTAGTTTTAACACCAGGGGGAGCTGCTGTTGATCAAGGCAGTTGCTCCACCAAAAAGGACAATCACAGAAGTGATTTTTCTAACTTTTTTCTAACTTTCTAACACTAAAGTTAAGGTTATATGCCTAATTTCTATTAAGTGGCCCAGCCACTCCTATATTTTTATGCATGTGGCCCTCAGTGAAAAAAGTTTGGACACCCCTGGCTTACAGGGTTCATACGCCTTGTTCAGGGTCAAATTCAAACACTTTTTAAGCACCTTTAAGATCCCTTTTCAAGCTTTTCCAGCACATTTACCCCCCAAAGAATGCAAATTTCAGTTCGCATCACCTCAGTAAGACCATGTGAAAACTAAAACAAATCATCCAAGGTGAACTTAAACACCTTTGTTGTCCTTTTGTTAAGACATAGAAAAACGCACCAGACAAACATACTGCAAAAGGAAATGGTCGCCTTAAATGCATATAGTGTATAAACTCAAAATGCGCATTTCACTTAAGAATTAAGATGTGAAAATGTGATCAGATCAACTTGTTAGATATTCATCTCCTATTGAAAAAAAACAAACAAAACAGAAATAAATAAGTCTTCTCATCAGATAATGATGCTTCTTTCCTGTATGACACAACAAATAGGAGACAGATGTTTGTTTGTTTTTTAAGTTAATTCCTAATAAAACTAACTGTAAGATGTTTAACTACATTGCTGTCTGTATTATTGCTGAAGTCCTAAATGATCACCTTTAAAGTGTTTGTGCTAATAACATCATGTACAGTCAGACAGGCATGGAGAACAGCACTGACTGCGAGAGGCTTTGAATAGATCACATAGTTCAATTCAATATATAAGACTTTAAGAATGCACAAGCATCTACTTAAAATCTATTTATTTAATCTATCATCTATGATATTATTATGTATAATTCTAATGCATTGTGACAAGGAGGAGACAGAGGGATCGTTTGGTCTTGCTTCACACAGAGTTAGCCAGGGAGCACAGACGTTTATTAGCATTCAACAGGAAACACAACGCTGCTAACTCAACTGCTCGGCGTAGCTCTAGCATATCAACAACCACAAAAAAAAAGGCGCTCTCTCCACCCAGAAACACACAGTCGCAGAGAGAGAGAGAGTGTCACCTGTAACCATGGCAACATAACGCTGCCGCCTGGAACAACAGAACATAGCTGTCAAACCCCAAACAGCCCTGACCCGCTACAGTATTTTGTTCATCTCCATTAAATAAACAGGCAGCCTTTAATGTATCCACTAAGACAGAGGAGAACAGCACCTGCAGGTCTGACAGCAGGTGTGTCACTCCTGTTTTCCACCTGGAGACAGCGTTTACACTGCGATCTGCCTTTTGTGGCTTTTTTGCAGCAACTGTGACATTCTCTAGTACAGTGGTTCCCAAAC